GCGCCGCACGCCCCCCCCCCTCTCTCTCTCTCTCTCTCTCTCTCTCTCTCTCTCTCTCTCTCTCTCTCTCTCTCTCTCTCTCCCTCCCTCCCTCCCCCCTGCCTTCCCCCTCTTTTTCTCTTTCTCATGTCATGGTCTGCGTGCGAATCTTTAGCCTTTAGATCGTAAGATAGATTTCGCCTGATAGATTTTAATTAGTGCTCGTAAGATTAATCATTGTATGTTCACTGTGAGATCGACATCGGTCGATATTGCTCGTGTAATTGCCCGCATCGTCAGATAAACGTTTATGTTGTAGATTTTTAAGTCTTTTGTATTCTAACCTAGTAATACGATACTGATATCATATGCACGCAATCACTACTCTTTCGATGTACGTTCCAAATTTCATTTGAATTTATATTAAACCGCCTTATGGCTTGTGAATCAGAAACAATGAGTAACATTTCTTTATGAACTTAGCGATTTTCCACCAATTCCTTTGCCATTAGTTAGCCATCGCCGGCGCCCAGACTAAGGCACTATAAACGTGAGTATTCGTATATCCGCTATTTTTACTCCTTCCCCCACTTCTTGCTGTATGTCAATTTGAAGAAAAGGATTGAAATTTCTCATCTGCGAAGAAGTGTAGATCAAGTGATGTTTATTCACAAGTCACATATTTATTTTACAGCAATACAGCAAGTTGTCGACGAATATTATTCGCAGGAAATTTAAATAATCGAATATCTTTTTCTGATCTATTGAGTTTACCGCAATGCAACAAGGTATTTTATAAATTTTTTTGTCTTCGTTAATATATAATATTTCAGTTTTCCTTTTTTTCGTCTCTTAGTATTATATTAAAGTCTCTTGGTAAAATTTCGAAATGCGAAAATACATTCATACTTCCATGTTTGCAATAGCTTAAAAGCTATAATAACCTTTTCAGTTCAGCGGCGGAGTGAGAACAGAGCAAGGGAGAATATCATCAAAGAGAATATCACCGCAATCTCAATGATACAATTTATAATTTATAAAACATGGAAACAAATGAATATCAATATAAGATCGACTTTACAAATTTATTATAAAATAAGAACATTTTCTCTAAATTAAATTATATAGCGAATTCAACAATTCCGTATCATTTTGCATATTAAGTCCATTTTTTGTTTTTTTATATGAATCGCTTTCGAAATTAATCTTTTATTTAACCCTTGTTCTTTGTCTAAAATTTTTCATTCCAATCAAAATCATGAATGTGTTCAATTCTATGTTCTGTTATTACAAAGTGTTGTGTGGTGTTCTGGTGCTATTTATGTGATTCCAATGTTCTTTTATATGTGTCTTCAATGACCGTTTCGTTGGCTCACATAGGAAGTATTATAATTTTGACAATTAATTTTGTATACCACATTAAAATGTAATAGTGACGACAATTAATCTTTTTGTGCTTTTATGAATGTATTAAATTTATTAATTTCTACGTAAGTCAAACGAACCACTCTGTTATTTTTGAAGAATCTCTCTTGAATTTCTCTGCTATTGAAGACACGTAGGGTACAATAAAATATGTAATTATATTATATTAAATATTAAATTTTTATCTATTTTTTTAATATTATATTTTTATCTATTTTTTTTCGTTGTATATTCTTGTTAAATTGTTCGAATTTGGTGTGTTGTCTTTTTCTAATGCTTTCAAAAATCAGTTTTAAAGAGTAATCCTGCTGCAAATTCCTGGGAAATTTTCCTATGGGTTTGTCTAACCATGCACTCGTGGTTCAACTGGTCCCCGTGGAAGCAGGTTCCTATCTTGCTGTAAATTCCCATGGGTTTTTTCATGGATTCCTATAGAGGACTATAAGATTTTGGCTGTGTTCCAAAATTTACTGAAAATCTATAGTTTTCGTTATATGCACTATAGATTTGCATGTGTATGAATGCCATTTCCGAAATCAGTTTTGTTCAAAAATTTCTCCTTGTCTAAAATTTGAACGTTCTCCCAATCGAAGTCATATGAAAATTCAATATGATGTTCAGTAATTACAGAGTTAGTGTCAGTGTTTCAATTATATATGTCTGCGATGTTCAAATATTCTGCTGGAAAGTTTCCTGCATGTTTATCCCATATAAGATGCATCGCAATCTTTACAACAAATCTTATAAACTACATTTTTATTATCAAATTTTGAGAGAGCGTCCTTTTGTACTTTTATGAATCTATTTAATTTGTTATCGCTGAAAAACGCTAATTTTATGTTAGTATCTTTACAAATCAACGAAAATTTCTCTGACGTAGAATCAATATATGGTAACAAAAACCAAGATACACGATCACTAACCGTATCATTGTTTGGGACATTATTACTAAAAAATTTTTTGTTAAACCAATATTTTAGACAACTATTGATCGTGTCAAAAACAAATTCTGCCGGATAGTCATTATTTAGTAGTAATGTACAAATAATGTAATATTGCTAGTGAAATTTTGAATCTGAGAGTAACACAGCTCTAACATATCCACCTTATAACACCTTTTTTATGAGAAATATGTGAATAGTTCAAGTATCGTCCTGAAAATGTTGGTTTTGTGACTCACAAAACCAACATTGTTGGTCAATCTAACTCTAATGTTATTGTTATTAATAATGGTTACATCTAAGAAATTAATTACTATTGCTTCCTATTTCCAAGGTGCAATTGCAATCTCGGATGAAACGAATTAAAAGTTATCAAAATAAGATCAATCATATCAGACGGGACAGCCATCGATATCATCAACATACTTAACATTGCTATTGCTTTAGTCTTTAAGTTTTGCATGACTAAATCTGCTATGAGATAAGGGCGATCCCATTGATGTGCCAAGTTTTGTTTGTATATCTACCTATTAAAAGTGAAAAATACGTCGAGTTAAGTACTAATTCTAATGCTATAAAAAATTCTTTTTCCGGAATAGTCGTTGATTTTTTTTATATAATTTCATCTATTAGCCACTCTCAATCGCCAAATCTAATGGAATGTTAGTAAACAGAGAGATGACGTCAAGAGAAATTAAAGAATAATTAGTTTCCAATCGCCTACCTCTTAACTTCTGCGCAAGAAAACTGTTTTATTGAAAGGTTTAGAGGATTTTTTAGAAATAATGTTGTATAAAAATGAAGCCAAAGAATATAGAGAATAATTGAAAATATGATGTTAAAGGGACAATTAGGTTTATGCATTTTTGAAAGTGCATATGCACGAGATAAGTTATCTTCGCTACATGATATTTTTTTGTATGTACTATTTGAAATGTAATTTTTATTTTTCCAATGTGATAATAGTTCATGAACTTTTTTTGTGAGAATATTGATAGGGTTTTTTATGACTTTTTTTGATCCGGATCATCAAGTATTTCTTTGATTTTCGAAATGTAAGTATATTTTTGTTTAAAGCCACAGTGATACTTCCCTTGTCTGCCTTTGTGAAAATAATGTCTGGATTATTAGTGCAAAATTATTTTGTGTATCGTACTAGTTGAGTTAATCGTTTACTGATTATATTATTTTGAACAAAGGATGATAAATAATTTTTCAATATAGGTGTGGTACAACAAATTCCTAATATTTAAAATATTATTAGGTTTAATTTTCTTAAAATTATTTTCTATATTTTTAATAAATTCTAATAATGTTCTTTTTTTTTTAAATGAAGATAACGCGAAGTTTTCATTTATATTATAATTGTTTATTTATATAATTTATATAATTGTAACAAAAATATTGAACTTTTTCAGGAATTGTAAAGCCAGATAAATTTGTGAACCAACCTTCTTTAATATTAAATAATGAAGACTTTGATGTTTAAACCTCAAACGAGATTAAAATGGATTGAAATTTTTTTCTATCCAAATGCGTATTTTAAATAGCGAATACTTTTTTTTGGATTTAATTGGATTCAATTGGATTTAATTCGATTCAATTGGATGCAATTGGATTGAAAAACTGCATTTCCTATTCAAAATTTTGAATTGAACAATGCACAGAAAAAGCTAATATTATTTTTAGATTGAAAGGCATAGAGATATGCTCTATGCAATTCTTATAAATGAATAAAAATGCATTCAGAATTGAAAAACATTTATTTTAACATTCATGAATCAATATTTCTGAAAATCTGAATCCATTTTAATTCATTTCAATATATTCTCGTTTGCTGAGAATATTTTGAGATACCCTATATAGTCCCTATAATTTACATATGAGAGTGTGTACACAAAATGCTACAATAGTCGATTGATGTAATTCCACGTAAAAATCTAAGATGATTTTTCCATATATAACTCCAAAAATTGAAAGTCATGTGATAAACAAGGTGTATTTGATGATTCAAAAAAGTCATGAGTCATATTTTCTTTATGGCAGTCAGGATTTTTTTCACTTGATGTGGAACGTACCTCATTTATTAACTATTAACTATTATCACGACTTCCACTTTTTAGGAGTTACGAATTATTCTCTCAAGTTGATATAGGTACCCATAGGAATGCGGAAGAGATGCCTCATGGGGACTAAATATCTACTAAGTACCTAAGATACTAACTGCACTTTGATGTAGAAACATATAGGTGCACATAGAACAGAGGAAATGTGCATATGTCATCCTGTGGTAGCTTATAGCCATTTTCAATCTCCATGGGACACCTCTTCTTTATCTTACGCCTACATGTTACTATATATCCTATAGATCTTTTCTCATGGGGCATTTGTCTACATTCCTGTGAGTATTTTTATTATCCTATTTGCATTCCTATGAACGTTCCTACGTATACCTATGCATACTGCGTAAATCCTATAGGTAATTACACAAATTCCTCATAGGATCTTATAGTTCTCTTATAGAAACTCATAAAAAACTCACTTTTGCAGCAGGGTTACTAAGTAGAATATTAATAATGAACTTAAAATTTTTCTCATCAAAAATTGGATGTGATAATAATAATAACATCCTATTTATCAAATCCATAATTGTAACCCATTTTATCTCTCTCCGGCATCTCGGGTGACACGAAAAATAATTTAGGTACCGTGCTGAGAAGATTTGCGATACCAATCGTATTCAAATAATTGTCTTTCTTTATTAAGGTTATATCTAGAAATTTAAACTATTATCGTTGCTTTCTATAGTAAAATTTAATTGAGGGTAGTAACTAATAAATATATTTAATAAATTACTATATCAATATTTTCATCATGTATTGGCAGTGCAATGTCATCAACGTCACATAGAAATCCAATGAAAATGGTAAACTCTCAAGAACAGTTCTCTCTTGATGCATAACAAGATCCGCTATTATCGGAGAAAGAGACCCTATAGGAACAATATACAATTATTTATAGAATTTTTCATTGAAAGTAAAAAATGTAGAGCACAAAGTTAATTGCT